ATTACAATATACTGTCAAATAGCTTAGTCATTATTATGAGTGACTATCTCATTATTATAAGATAACTAAGTCATGGGATTACCATCTCCTTATTATGAGATAACTATATAAAATGACGAGATACTATCTCATCATTAAAATATAACTAAGTCATAATTATGATATACTGTCTCATTATTATGGAGTAGAAAAGTCATAATTATGAGTGACTATCTTATTATAACTAAATCATAATTATGGGATTACCATCTCATTATTATGAAATAGCTAAGTCACAATAATGAGATAGAGATTATTTAATTTTAATCAGAGTGGCAGAAACGGGCTTCCATACCACCAGCACATACAGGGTCGCAAATTGAGACCGACTTTTGTAATATTTTGCATTTTCTGCAACATGACCCTGCATCATTTGCCTTGAACTCGTTAGTGGACCTTCTGTCTTTGGACTACGGAGTGGTTTTCTGGACAGAGGTGAGGTGGACCGCTGAACTCCAAATAGTTTGAAGTATCCCTGGTCCGTTCAGTTGACTGCAGCGGTCTTTCCCGGGAACGGGAGGTAAGAGAGTGGCTTCCGTGGTGGGACAATCTCGGAGCTGGCCTTTAGCTACGTTAGCTAGCTAGGAAGCTAAGTCGTTAGGATTGGATGTTTTCACGCTGCGACGCGTTTGCTGGCAGTCAAGCTGAACCGCGGAAATGCTCATTAATATCAGGTCGTTTGGAATACCGCTGTTGTCACACTTTAACCGCGAAGTCTGAGTTTTAATCAGGTAGTTAGCCGAGAGAGAGCAGGGTCAAGTTAGCCAAACATGTTAGTACTGTTTCCGTTTTCCTTCAAAATAAAAGCACGGCGCATGGCTAATTAAAACGAACTCTTAAAACATTCATTATTTGGAAGTATCGTTCAATGTAATTGTAACTTTCATCTCGAAAATATTATTTTTAATCCACATCCTCACAGGAAATTATCTTCACTATGGATATTTATGTATGACTTTTAGTTTTCGATCACGGGATGCCACGACGCATGTTTATTTTGCAAAGTGCACGCGTTATTTCCGTTTTATTAAATCTCGGACTGTTTCTCAAGACCGCAACTATCGATGGGAGTTTAGTTTTATTTATTTATTATCTGCTTAAGGGAACCGACCAGAGGTCACCTCGGTAACACAGCCTTCTATGCGAGTCATCTGCCGCTGATGGGTTGTCAGGCAGCATGCTAAAAGGGACCGCTTAACCGTCCGCAGCACACTGCGGCGAGCCTCCCGTCCGACTCCGTAGGGTCCAGCCGAGCTGAGCCATGCGACAGTGGTGCGTCCCCACTGCGACCCCGCGGGCTGAGCCACTCCCGGGACGCCCGTCCATGTCGCCCCCTCCGTCAGGTGAGACAACGTTAGAGAAGAGGGGAGCTGCCTTCTTCATCTTTAGGACAGATAATCGATTCGATCTGCAGCCACAGAGGAGGAAAATGGTTTGTTTTTATAAGATCGACCATTTAGAGCTAGCTAATCTCAGTTTTCCAGCAGATGCATTTAAAAAGGAGCGATAATGTGATAAGTACTGAGCAGATTTAGCATTTTTGTTGAGGGGTTTTTATTTATGAGGTTGTGCCTTTGCAGCTGAATGAGGTTGTTGCGATTTCCACCCAGAAACAGGTTGAATAAGTAATGGATATTATGCCGATGGGACCTGGTTCTAACTTATGCATGCTAAGCTGATCTTCAGTTCCACCCTGGACAAGTTGCCCAAGGTTAGCCCCACGTGTCCGTGCCAAGCGGTGCCAAGCGTCTGTAAGGGTGCCAGAACTTTGAATGACCCACGGGTTGGTCAGAGAGAGATGCAGCCTCTTCCTCCTCAGTGGACTTCTATAAACCCGTCCTGTGTGTGTGTGTGTGTGTGTGTGTGTGTGTGAATCATTTAGTCAGACTTGCTTTTTAAAGATAGAAGTCATCTATCTTTAGTTTGGTGTTTGATTTCTGCGTCTATTATTTATTCCATCTAATAATAATCCTTTGTTGGGCTTTGAGCAGAGATAAATATAGCCACATCTGCCTGATGACACTTGGTGAGGTCTTATTTGGTGAGGAGTTAACTCATCTGAGCCGATCATGTCTTTCACTCAATTTCACTTTTGACCAAGTATGCATGCTCACATCGTGCGCACAGATCCTACAATGAAGTGCTGCGAAGTGGAGCCCCGCTACACCATCGAGCAGATCGACCTTCTGCAGCGGCTGCGTCTCTCTGGCATGACCAAACCGCAGATCATCCATGCTTTGGAGTCCCTGGAGAGGCTGGACCCGGATCATCGCCCGCCCCCCTGTGACTCTCACGCTGCCACTTCCAACACCGCCACTGCCACGACCGCGCCAGCCCCATCGTCGTCCTCGTCGTCAGCATCCTCACTCTCGTTGGCCTCGGCCACCACGCAGACCTCTGGCCTGGACTGCGCCACGCTGTCTCCCAGTAACAGCTACGAGGCTTCGCCCCCGCCGCTTTACCCTCCCAGCGCTGTGGTTCAGCGGTCGTTCAGCTACGACATGATGGGGGAGGACGACTGGGACCTGGAAGAAAAAGTGGAGGAGTACATGAGGTGAGCATCATCAGGGAGATGCAGGTGTCGGGTGAGGATGTACTGGGATGACGGGGAGAGAGGATGAGAAACTATTATAATATCAGATAATTACAGCGTGCGTCCCCTGAGGCGTAGGCTGATTCTTCACCATTGTAGTTGAGTTAATTCAGGTCAGGTGTTTGGGGAAGACTAGAGGAGAGCATCACGAGTGAATAAGGTTAGTCGGAGCAGAGGCTGATGTTTAACCCCTTGTGTGTTTTGTTTCGTTCACAGAAGAGACAGCAACCTGGTGAAGGAGGAGATCAAAACTTTTCTGAACAATCGCAGGATCTCTCAGGCAATCGTAGGCCAAGTCACAGGTACTTCACTACTAGCTGAATCGGCAGCGCTTCCCTTCCTGTTGGGAGTGGCTGCAGCTGAGTCCCGTGTGTCTGGTCCCGAGAGATCGCCGGAGAGCTGCAAGGTCACATGGGAGTTAAGGAGAGGAGTTGAGCAGCAGAAAATGGCAGGATTTCGAGTCCTACCCATTAATATTCATGATATATAACAACAGCATGACTCTTCCACTCCCTCCATTCACTTTGCAAACATTGTTTTATCTTCACAAATAACACACGACTGAAGGAGTTCTGCCGCGTGGTGGAGTTGCTAATGCTAATGGTTAGCTTCTGCTAGCCGAGGCGCACTCTGCTGCCTTCTGGACGATAAATCAGCAACAGCTTTTCGCGGTCTCGAGTCTAGAAGGGCGAGTCCATGAATGCTGATGTTTAGTGTGACGTAGAATCCACTGACTACTCATCCCAGAGTTTACCCGTCTCTCCTCTGGCGCTGGCTAGTGCAGGAAATAGGGGTAGAAGACTGTTGTCATGTTTTCCATGCATGTGAAACTCAGGCTGACAAATGTTTTAAAAACAATTACATATAATATATTTCTTTTTAATATTAATTATTTAGAAATCTGCTGCTTTACCCTGCTCCTGCGCTGCACTTCCTGTCTGGCCTGATCAGAACTGCTGACCTTGACGTGTTTTGGAACCAAAGCGTGTAAAAAACATCCCCAAAGTGTAAAGTTAGAGCAGCACTATCAACCACACAGCACACTTCGTAGGCAACGCTCTCACATCCGGGGGAAAGCTGGAGTTAGGCAGAACCACACTGTCATTTCTCATTTTCAATTGTGTGTGTGTGTGTGTGTGTGTGTGAGAGAGAGAGAGAGAGAGAGAGAACTCAAAATCAAAACAAGTCAGTCTTCAAATATCTCTATTTTTAAGATCTGCTAAGCCGGAGGCAGATGAAGGTTGGATGAGACCGGCGTCTCCGGCGTGCTGCGGTGAAGACGGTAATTTCATAAAAACAGATTCCTGTTGTAGGCTTACAATGTAAACAATAAATCTTATTGGGAACGAGTG